TTTGGAGCTGTGATTCCTACCATCATGGAACTGTGATCTCCAATTATTGGTTATTTGGGTTGGTGTCCCCCTATTTTTAAAAAAGGGCTATTATATATATATAATATATATATATCATATATATATATAGTGTGTATGTGTGTGTTGATGCATGTGTATATTTCAATTTAAGCAACATGGATGTACTTTTCTTTTGAAAATGTTTTATTAGTTTTACTATACTGCCTAAGGAATTTTGGGGATGTTTTGGGTTTTATAAAGCCAAGGCTGAGAATGGCCATTCTAGATAGATCAGCTGAACTATTCTGGCACCTGTCAAATAACTTTCCTCAATCCCAGAGTGTGGGAAACTTGGCTCAATGCTGGTTTTGGTTGGCTGTGGTGAAGGAGAAGTTGGGATTTGGAGGATGAGGGCTGAGCTGTAACTCTGCCCAATGTCTCCTGCTTTGAACCTTAACAGACACTTTCCTGGTCACATTGACAGTGCTTTTGAGTTGCCAAGCCCAAAAACCTTGCTCCCCTCTTAGAATTCCTGATTTCCAGAGGGTACCTGATTGCTGGAATTAAGACTATTTTCCAGCTTCTCTTGCTGATAAGTGTGGTCATATGACTAATTTCTGGCCCATTGGTTAGGATGTCAATGGAAGAGTGACACGGAAGCTTCTAAGGACGTTGCTTAAGAGGTAACTAGCCCCCACATCCCACCTTCCCTTTTTCTCCCGCCATGAAGATGATGTCCATGCCCTAAAATGGCAGAGTAGGAAATTGGGAGAAGCTACATCAGTACTGGATGTCTGAATCCGGAGTCTCACATGACAGAAAGAAGCTGATATCTCCTCTAAGCCATTTTTGCCCCCAGGTTTCTTACAGGAGGCTAAACCTAATTTTAATTTGTAAATTCATTTTATCCCTTCAAAATTTACCTGCTTGTGTTAATTGCCCCAGACCAGAGCGGTTCTTCCTACGAGGTGGAGTCTACCCAATACATTTGACTAATTCAAAGTTTACTGGAGTCTTCACTCTTCTGAACAAGTAGTTTAAAAAGAACTCTCTTTCAAAAAGAAATGCAGTCCCCTTCTCATTGTTTCTGAGGATTCCTGGTGTGTGTGTATGTGATGGAGTGAGGGACAAGCTTACATCCTACATGTCAATGCCCATCACCTCTTTCTCTGCCTTGGCCCCTGGTTTTTTCCCCTCCATCATGTCTGAGGATTCCCTCACTGGTACTCTATCTACTGTCTTATCTCCATGGCTCCCCCCAAGCATGGACACAGCCCCCTTCCTCTACTTCTCAAGGCACCTCTAACATGATGCTAATGAATTTTTAGTGTATAATGAATTTTTATTGAAGGTTTGGGAATATTACAGTATAATTCCAGCAGAGACAAATGAAAAACTTAAAACTGGATTTCCATCATCACTGTTGTTGAAGCTCTTCACTTATATCCTCTCAGTGATAGGGCGGCTTGAATGTTGTGGGCTGGCATCATCCAAAAGCTCACTCTTTTGCTGGCTATCACTCCTGGATTCCTGGGATTGTTGCTCCCAGTGAGCTCCCCGTCCACTGCCACTATTCTTAGATTATTCCTCTCAATAAACTTCCATCATTTGTGCCAATCCAGAGAAAACTGAAAGCACCCACCTTTTTTTTATTATTATGCAGAACTGTTGGGTTCTCTTTGTCACTCCCTCCCCATTCCCAGCCCTGCCCTTGACCTTACCTTTCATAACCAAGAGGTTTGTTAGAGTATTTCTTAAAACTGAAGACTGGTTCTCTTCTAAAATAAAATGGGCATTAATAGCAGACACTTTAAAAAATAGTTCTTTTCTTTCTCTCTCATACATCCCTGACCCTTTTAGGCATGGATCCATGTGCAGTTAATAACTTTTGGGGGGTCATGGGGGGAGATGGAAGGGGTTTGGACTAGGCAGAACTGATGAGAATTCTTATTTTACCATTTATTAACTGTGTGCTCTTGGGCAAGTTACTTAGCTGTTTTTGTCTTTTTTTCCTCACCTGTAAAAATAAGAATAATATATTCTGCATTATAGGGTGGCCGTGAGAATTAATGTGATGGTGTGTGAGGAGGGCTTAGCACTACAGGGAGGGTCTCAAAAGTGAAAACTCTGGATCTTGAGGCAAGGGTGGGGTTGGGAGAAGGGGATAGAAAAGTTTTGTAAGTTGTTAATTTATAATAAATCCCCAAAGAGAGATTCTTTCAAATGCATACTTATTAAAAAAAATTTATCAACAGGGGAAAGCTTCTTAGGAGGGCAATGGAAAAATTTTTAGCATCAGGCTGATTTTCTAATATTTGAGCAAAGTTTAGAAGGAGCGGTCAGTAGAAAACAGTTCTTCGTCCCTGGACTCAAGGAAAGTCCCACTATCTTGATGAAGCTCTGTCTCATCACTTGTGAAATGAAGAGTACCGACCACCCTCTGAAATTCCATATACCTTGACATCTGTGCCTTTTATGGTATACTGTAAATGAAAACATTTTACTCGCTGTTTGCTCAGTATAGATTACATTTAAGACACACAAATTTTTTTCCTTCCTGAATGTCACTGCAGTGAGAGTAGGCTGGAATTAGGTTGGGGCTAGGTACTTTTCTTGGTGGGCTGTTTTCTTGGTGGTGTTTAGACCAAAGCTCTCATTTTACCATAGAGTCATCTGTCCTAGCAGCATCCTAATGCATGGGCGGTGTCCTTGGTGCTGAACCACAGGCCGCGAGTCCAGTAATCAATACCCAAGATGAACACCTCTGCTTTTGATGAGAGAGAGAGAGAGCAGAAATCAAACACATGACACGTTTCCTGGGTTGTTCATTTTGTTTTGTTTTCTTTGGAGGGAGTGAGGGAGAGAAGGTGCTGATCAGAGAAAGTCCTAGAAAGAAGATTCTTAAAAATACAGCTGTGGTGATGCCCATGGGGTGTGTGCTGCCCAGAGCTGTTCAGGGCTTCCCTGTGCTGTCATGGGGATTAATTACTCAGTGTTTGTGTCACTCTGAGCTAAGCATGTGTGGGGAGCTAAGACTCAGATGCTAAACTATTTTCAAAATGGTAAGTGTCGTGTTAGGGTCTCTCAGTGGTGGGGCCCCCTTCATGTGAAATCACATCTCCAGAGCACTTATTTGAACTCTATGAATGACATTTTGCCAAAATATAGACTACTTTTTGCTAAAACATTTTAAGCTGAAATTAAATTTGCAAAGGGACGTTTCAGAAGAATACATTGGAAATGCAGGGAGAATTGGAGTCAGTGGGATCTTTAAGAAAGTTCCCTTCTGTTTCTGTGTCCTTCCTCTCTTCTTTCCCCACAGCTCCTTTTACTTTCTTATGCTGAGTCTACATAAGAAAAATAGACCTTTCCATGATAAAAAGTCTTTATTGGCAGATTGTTTATTTAACCATTACTTATTCCGTATCTTCTCCATTCAAAGCATTAGATGTGACTTATTTATCTTTGTAGTCATCAGAGCAGGTAGGATTGCATCGCATTCATTCATTCAACAAACATTCACTGACCACCCACTCTGTGCCAGTCCCTGGGCACAGAGTGATGTCTTGTGGAGCTTCAATTCATTGCTCCCACAGAGTAGGGGCCCCCACAATACCAGTGGATTGGTTTCTTGAATCAAAAAACATAAAATCAAAAAGTCAAAAATTGTAAAATTCTTAGATTCTTTTATATGCACCAGATACATGCATCTGCTTGTATTAATTCAAAGTAGATCCTCATGACCATCACTTGTTTCTGTTTATATGTAATATAAATTATCTTGCCCTTGTTTTTAGTTAGGTTTTGCACGTTAGTTCAATCTTTCCGAGGTGAAAAGATGCTTCCTTGTTTTCCTGTCTTGCTCTGAAGAAGTAGATTTGTTTCCTGGTTGAAGCTGGTCCCAGGTAATCCTCAGGGTACAATGCATCTACAAGTGGTTCATTGAAAATGTTATTGTCATTTAAAAACTCCCCATGTCTGAAGGAAGATTTTGGGGCTAAAAGATAATATATACATTATTACTGATATAGTCTAGTTTGGAAAACAACATCATATGAAATGCTTATAAATTGGTTTGTATGAACTCAAATATACCAATCCATACACCTCTTTAATTTGCTGAGCACTTAGGTGCTTTGTAAGTACTCCATGCATGGTAAGTATTATTTGAATATTTGGATTATACATTTTGTCTCTGGATCTTTTTTGCTTTCTGTGGCATGCATACCAGTTCTCAGGAAACTTGAAGGACTACATGTGGCAAAGTATAGGTCTGTACTTGACATTCACATTTAGGCAACTGCTCAGTTATACCTGAATTGTTTTGCAAAACCCCATTAAATCACCATGTGGCATTCGCAGCATATTTCTCAACAGAAGTACCATTATGCCCACTTTCTACAAATGTCGGAGGCTTACTGGGGGCAGAGACAGAGTCTTACTCACTTTTGGGTTTCCAGCATCTGGCGCCATGTTTGCTTGTGGTACATGAATGACACACTCTCTGTCTTTGTGAATGTCCCCTTCCATCCCTCCACCTCCCGTTTTCCTTTGAACTCTTCAGGGTTCAGTTCAAATGTCACAATCTCAGTGAAGCCTTCCTCCAGTGACCCCCTCCCCCCGCAGAACTTACTTGTCCCTTCTCAGAATCCCACTTTCAACAGATGACTCCTATCACGTTTCACTTCCATGAATTGGTGACATTTTTCTGGTGCCCCTGTGAATTTCTTGAGGGAAGAGGCTCTGATTCACTTACCTGTGTATGCCTACTACCTAGTCGAGTACCTGAAGCCTGGTTGTATCATGATATAATTTTAAAAAAACTTTAAAAAGATTTTATTTATTTATTTGAGAGAGAAAGACAGAGCAGGGAGAGAAGCAGACTCCTGGCTGAGCAGGGAGCCTGACGTGGGGCTCCATCCCAGGACCCTGGGACCATGACCTGAGCCGAAGGCAGATGCTTCACTGACGGAGCCACCCAGGTGCCCCTATCATGTTACAATTTAGTTGAACAAATCCGTATTTGTTAGAGTTGCACACCACCCCAGGAAAAATTAGTATAACTTGTGATGTAGCTGAGCTCTAAAGGCCATAAAACCTACCACTGTGGGTGATATAATTTCTAGGCAGAAACTCTTTCTGAAGTTCAATGTTGGAAAGAGAAATGTCCAGATGGGGGCGGCAGGGGATGATAGAAGGGGTATGGGGTGCGGTGGGGAGTCAGAGGACCTAAACAAACCCCAGGCACTTCCAAGAGTCATAACAATGACCAAGGGGAGGAGTTTCAGGACCCGGGATGAGGATGTGTGTTCCTCAGGAAGGACAACCATTGACACGTGAGGGACAGCCACCACATTTGGAAACCAGAGTGCCTGTCGGCGCAAACCCACCCGGTCTCCCTCTCTGCCGGGCCTGTGGTGTTTGGAGGAGCCAGGGAGTGGTGGGCTGGGTCCCCTGTGGGAGACTCCAGGGCTCCAGCCTGGCTCCCTGGGGCTGCAGGGTGGGCAGCCCGTGAGGCAGCCCCCGGATGCCTGGTTTGCTCTGTGCCCCGGGGACGGATAACTCTGTGTGCTCAATTCACCAAGTCAGGAAGGGATGTCCAGACATTCCTCTGTGGCAGTCACGTGCCTTAGGCTGAGTGAGAGGAAAGGGGTGACACGTGTGTCCGGGATGACTTAGTCACAGTGCAAAATCAGCCCCATCTTGAGGGCCTTTGAAGATACGGCAGCTGGCTGCTGACTTCAAATCTGTGGCTGTTTCCCGAAGCCTCTGACTTGTGGCCCGACTGGTCGGTTTTGCTGAAAAGGCCGAGCGAGCGCCGGCATGCAGTGCTGGCTCTTCAGTGTGATAGTCCTAAACAGCCGGAAGTTGCGGTGAGGCAGAGTGGGGTGCTGGTGGCCTCCCGGCCAGACCCCCGCACACTCCACGCTGTCCCGCCCTGTGGCAGGAAGCCACATCCTCCTGGTGAGCCCTTCCTCCCGCTTTGTTCTCTTGGGTCAAACTTGAAAAAGAGAGAGATACCCCTTCTGGTCATCTGGGGGGCGGGGGTGGGGAGACCGAAAGGGGCGGAGGCGAGAATATATATGGAAAGACAGGACTGCGGAGACAGATGAAGTCCGGTGACGGCTGGCGGCTCTGTCTTGCGGCCGTCCGGCAGAAGGCCGGGAGGAGGGGAGCATAAACAGAGGCATCTGGTCCCCCAGCATGGAGCAGCGGGTCCGTGAACCGTGGCAGATGCAGCCTCAGCTGTGATTGGGCATGAGGCATCGGTGTCCAAGCCTGGGTCACGCGCAGGGCCCGTTTTCCCCGTGACAGTGTGGTGTCAAACTGCCATTCTTTCTTCCTGGGGCGGTTTTTTTTTCCTCTGAAATCTGCCAGCTCTCGGAAGCAGCATCGACTGGGCCCCCCGGGTTCACAGGCTGGAGGAAGCGGGCAGGGACAAGCCGTGAGTGACATCCAGAGAGGGACGCTGGAGGGCGAGCGGCAAAGCCAGGGGCAGGCAGGGAAAGACGGGGCAGAGAGAGAGGGCGTCTTGGGCAGAATGGAGTGTGGACGAGGCACATGTGAGCAGATTCTGCAGAAGGACATTTTCAGGCTTTGCCTGTGAGGGGTAAGCAGGCCCCCTGGGGAAAGACTGCAAGTGTTCTTTATCAAAACTTAAGGAGAAAAGCCGTGGTGTCAAGTTTCTAAAAGAAAAAAAAAAAATCCGTATATTCATGAAGGAAACCAAAAGAATCAGTACGTCTGAGCAAGGAACTCTGTGTTCTGGCAAAAATGTCACTTTGCTCTTCCAGCCCTTTGGCGTGTTTCATGGATATGACGGCCCTCACCCCAAGGTTTGTCTGCGGGGAGGCGGGGCCTCTGCCGCTAACAATTCTAAAACCTGTTTCCTCTTTGGGGTTTGCTCAGTTTCCCTCTCTCTCCTTAGGAAGGTGAGAATTGTTATTTTTTTTTTTTTTGTAAGATTATTTATTTATTTATTTGAGAGGGTAGGGGGAAGAGCAGAGCGGGACAAGCAAACTCTGAGCTGAGCGCAGAGCCCGACATGGGGTTCGATCTCACGACCCTGAGACCATGACCTGAGCCGAAATCAAGAGTCTGACGCTTCACCGACCGCGCCACCCGGGCGCCCCGGAAGGAGAGAATTATTGCTATAACTTGGTTTATTTAAAAAACCAGGCGACCAGGTTAGGTTACTTTTCATTTGTTTCTGAAAGCCCAGAGATGGGGGATGAGGAGACGTTGCCGCAGTCCGGCTCTCAGAGGAATATTTTTTATCCGTTGGTGGAGTCTGTGTTGGTGAAGGCCATGTGTCTCATGAACCTTCCATTCCATACTGGAAGCTTTTGTGTTTTGCTTTTCCTGTTCTCCCACGCTTTTCTTTTCCCCTTTAGTGTCACGTCCCTTGTGGTGTTCCTTCTGGGTTTTTCTTATTTCCTCATCCAGCCGTGAGAGAATAAGACAGACATGTGTTAGAAACCTCTAGGCAAAAACGACTTCCCAGTTCTGGATGAGGAGACCCTGACAAACACCCTGGGGATGGGAATTCTTGAGGGGCCTTGTCTCAGAACCCCGGGGACGTGTGCTGGGGTCGTGCTTATAGTTGAAAAACAAACAAGCAAACAAACAAATGAAACTTACTCCTATTTCTTACTGTAGTCTGAGTTCTTTTTTTTTTTTTTTTTAAGATTTTATTCATTTATTTGCCAGGGAGAGAGAGAGAGACAAAGGCAAAGGGAGAAGCAGGCTCCCCACTGAGCAGGGACCCCAATGCGGGGCTCGATCCCAGGACCCTGGGGTCATGACCTGAGCCAAAGGCAGACGCTTAACTGACTGAGCCACCCAGGTGTGCCCGTAGTCTGATTTCTGTTTAGCCCAGATTGATTCCTTACAAGTGTGGATTCCTGGGCCCCCAAATCCTAGAATTTCCTGTCATGAGAGAACCTACCCCCTTTCCCTTCTTCCCGATTTTCTCTCTTTAGATACAGTCCTCCACCCTCTGTCTTAGACTTTGTCTCCATATGTATTCCAGACCTACTCCAAAGTCCCGTCGGACTCTTCAGCTCCAGCTTGCTTTTCCCCATCTCTCTCTTCATCTCTGTGTTTCACACTCGCCCTCTGGTCCTGCTGTATCTCCTTCCCTGCTTCTCTCTTCATTTCTAAGGGGCTGGGTCAGCTATTGGTACTCCCCTTTGCGCTTTTTCCCACTCAGACTCTTTGAAAACGGGACATGGGACAGTGCTCTGACACCGTAAAGGTGTCTTGGTCTCCGAGTAGGAGAAAGCAAACAAATGCATGGGCTCGAATTGCACACGGATGAGCAGCACTATTTCTAACTGCTGTGCAATCAGGTGCAATCGGGTGCCTGAGCCATGTGTTTTCAGCTGAATTTGTGCCTGTCCGGATGAGGGTTTTTACTTGCCCTAAGTGAACTGTCCTGGAGAAGACCATCTCTGCACTTCTTATCCCAGGGCGTATAATAAACAGCAAACTTGCACACCACTGTTGGCGCAAGGTGCTTTCCCTCTGCACACATCTGGCCCCTAGATACATTGTGACAGTGTTCTGGGACCAGCACGGAGCCTGCACGCGCTGCTCGGGATCTGTTCTCAAGTTGTTGCAGGGACCCCGCCGTATGATGACAATTAGGAGCTGTTAGTGTGCAGATGAGGCCCACGAGTGGCAGGTGGCGGGAACGGGCCTCAATTAACTAACAGGCACCAAATCCCTTCCTAATGAGGCTGGGCCACCCAGATGAGCCAGGAGGCATGTGTCAGTGACAGCAACAGAGGATTTGAACTGGATGGTGGAGGGGGCGGGGTGGCTGGTCAACAGGTACCTGGCTCAGCCGCAGAAACAGCCCTTTTGGTTTTGCGGCTCAGCCAGCCGGGGACAGTGGCATGCAGGGTGGCGGGGTGCAGGGGTGCAGGGGTGCAGGGTGGGTTCAGTTTTGTACGTTGCATCTCCCTGGGTGGCCCCTGGGTCAGTTCAACTCCTAAGTGGGGAAGGGTGAAGAATGAGTCCATCTCCCGGGATAAGGGGTGCATGAGCTGTGGCTGGCCAGAGAGCAAGGTAATGACTGTCAGGAACTTAATAAAGGGCCATTGTCTTGAGTGGCATTTGAATTCCAAATCAGACACCGTAATAATAATGCTGCGAGCGTCACATCGGATTCTGTAGCTAAGGACCAGGTGCCGCGTCCCTTGCAAATCTTCTGGGGCTTTGTGTGGCTGCATCATCTGAATTTATACAGGACCGAAACTTGCCTGGCTTACTGAGAGCTTTTAAGAATTAAAAAAAAAAAAAAAAAGAAAAAACTTTCAGGAGCACGCAAAGGGTTAGCAGGGTGGCATTGCTAGAAGAATCTTGTGTTCCTCGGTTGCTCCGATCCCTTATCTTGAATGGCTCACCAGAAAGTTTTGAGGCTTACAGGAGCACAATCCATTGCTCTGGAGTGTGAATCTCCCTGATTTTTCCAGCACCCGGAATGAATCAGGATCTCTCTCCAGCTGTGCTTTCATCGTTCTGCTGAGGAGTGAAGGACTGTGTTTTCCTGGGGCCACAGCTTGCGTCCCAGGAGTCTCGAAAGGGGCCTTTGTGTGTGCACACTTCCCTAATCACAAAGCGAGATTCTGGAGGGTGGGTGAGAACTGTGTTTGAAACCGGTTATTTGCAATTCTTCCCTCCTCTTTTCATCTCCTGCAGCACAAAAGTAGTGTTAAAAAGGGGATGACTCCTTCAAAGTCAGGCACAGAAGCAGAATTGGGGATGTGGCCGCCCCTTTGTCCACATGTGTGACAGTGTTTGGCTAATTTTATGAACCATATGTGCCGGGCTGCAGAGCCCAGAGACAATGGGGTAAACCAAGAACCCACCCGGGACCATCACACATTTCCCTCCTACTGTCGTTTCTGATCCAAATAGTATTCAATCGAACATTTTTCTTCTTTCTCTAGTTTTGTTGTTATAACAGCATATGTCTCAAAAGAGGATTCTCCTTTGAAAAGGGGGGAGTTTTTCAACCTCTATACATCCAGTCAGTTTTATCTTTGTGTGTTTGCGGCTCTGTGACTTGGACAACCGAAGGTCCTCTTTAAAGTCTGCACCATAGGTTTGCATTCGTGGTCCTGAGTGTCACGCCCTCACGTCCTCACCACATCTCCTGGGTGACCGTTGGGTTTTAAGCAAGAAGATGGTAGACATTATATTTTCTTTCTCCTTCCCTCCTCTCTTCCTCTGTCTCATTCTCTTTGGGGCAAGACCCAGCTCCAAAACCACTTCCGGTCAAATAAATCTTTGCTCTCCCAGAAGCTCTGTAGGAAATGAAAGCTCTCCTTCTCAGCGACATCGAATGTCTTCCAAAGCAACGTGAGACATGTCCTGCCGTGTCTGTTCTGACTTCTCTTCGGCCCCCCATGCTTCTCCCATCTCGTACTGCCCTTGCATCATCCCTGTGAGAGGGCCGGGGGTTGGGCAGGTATTCTTACGTGTACCCAATTTATGGAGGAGAAAAGCAAGCCGCAGACAAGGCTCAGCAATTTGCTTAAAGCTTCACAGCTCATTTTTAGAATCCCGATGTTTTCATTCGGATTCCTCTAGAAGCTGACTTGGAGACAAAGCTTTGAGGCAAATAGTTTATTTGGGAGATGATCCGGGAAATGCTGCAGGAGAGTGGGGACCAGGGATGGGGAAAGAGAAGGAAGCCAATTAAAAATGCCTTATTCGGGGGCGCCTGGGTGGCTCAGTTGGTTAAGCGACTGCCTTCGGCTCAGGTCATGATCCTGGAGTCCCGGGATCGAGTCCCGCATCGGGCTCCCTGCTCGGCAGGGAGCCTGCTTCTGCCTCTGACCCTCCCCCCTCTCATGTGCTCTCTCTCATTCTCTCTCTCTCAAATAAATAAATAAAAATCTTTAAAAAAAATGCCTTATTCGGTGAGTTACCGCAGAGAGGGGCAGGTGGGGGGACCAGTGAACCCTCTTGGGGGCAGAGAAGAAGTCCCCAGAGTTATTCCAACCCCAAAGTCTTCATTGGTTGAAACTGCTTCTGGGACATCATGCCCTGGTCAATGCGGGTCAAGTGTGACCTCAAGGCCAGAAAAAGCCTTCTTTTAAAGGAGCAGTCTTTGGTTTTTTTTTTTTTAAAGATTTTATTTATTTATTTGACAGAGAGACACAGCGAGAGAGGGAACACAAGCAGGGGGAGCAGCAGAGGGAGAGGGAGAAAGAGCCCGATGTGGGACTCGATCCCAGGACCCTGGGATCATGACCTGAGCCGAAGGCAGTCGCTCAACCGACTGAGCCACCCAGGCGCCCTTTTTATTTATTTATTTATTTATTTATTTATTTATTTATTTATTTATTTATTTATTTATTAAAGGAGCAGTCTTTGGAGGAATCTTCAGAATAGGGAAATTGCCTTCTGGATTCCTTGCCTGGTTTTGAGAGGCAGAGGGAGAGGGAGAATCTCAAGCAGATTCTGCACTCAGCATGGAGTCCGACTTGGGGCTCAATCTCACAACCCTGAGATCACATCCTGAGTCAGACGTTTAACCGACTGCGCCCCCCTCCCAGGCTCCCCTTTGACACATTTTCTTAGTATGATATGCAATGCTTAAGAAGAGACATTGCATTCCAACACCCCTAAACTTTGAATTTGATGAATGAATAAATCCAGATAATTTTCGTTACCCATGTTTGTGGACAGAACCAGTGGTATGGCCTATGGGGTTCCTCGTGTAACATTAGTTAACTTTCCATGGATGGATGGATTTAATTAGAATCGTAAGTTTTAGCACTGGAGGGGAACTCAAAAAATGCCTGGCTCTGAAATAAGACAGGGTTTACCATCATTTTACAGATGATGCTCTGAAAACTAGAAAAGTTACCTCTCGAGTGCCCATTGAAGAAGGTGTCCCTATGTCATTATGTCCATATTCCCAGGTTTGCACAGCTGAGCCAATGGAAATTTCCTGTCAAATGCCCAAGCTATCCTTAGGTTTGTTTTCTCCTCTACCTCTTAGGTTCTATGTTTGCTCCCTTCTCTTGCCCTCTGAACCCTAACTTGATTCATCTAGAACTCAATAACCAAAGACTCCCAAGCTAAAATTTCCTTTCAGCCAGAGGTACGCAGTGAAGGTTTAATGTTGCCTTTCCATGGGTGGGAGTAGAGAGACCCCGGATTTTTAGCATTTACTCATTTCTGTGGTGCAAATACTCCTACCATGGATTTTTTTTTTTATTTTTGAGCCTCTAACCGAATGCCCCTAAGTCCGGAGTTGGGAAGAGATGCTCACAATTGGTGGTGGTGCAAGCCAACTCCACGTACCACCACCCCAGTCCCCAAAGAGCTGAACCGGCTACCTCACTGGGGAATCTCCCAGCCCCAAATATCTGCCAGCTCCCAACCCCCCACCATCCAAATCTACGTCCCCGTGACCTCACCAACCCCAGTCCCCATTCTCTCCAGCACTTCTAGATGGGGACTTGGTCCCTTCAAAGTGTCCACCCAGGTAGGACAGCTGCCTGGGGAAGGGGAAGCGAGGGAGGCGTCGTCCATCTCCCTCTCACCGTGTGGTGACTGATGGGTCTGCAGGTCAGGTTTGTTTCTTTCAGCCTATTAGGTTCTACAGGGTTGCCTCGACCTCCCTCCGAATCTTTCTGCAAGGGATGTCTTTGTTCATACAAAGTTCATACAACTCTGGGACAGGAGTAGGATGAAATGCTGACACAGCTCATATTTTGTACCTACTTGTGCTTGCTCAGTTATAGCCAGGACCATGCCCAGGACTCTTCCTCAGGGCAGCCTTCTGTGATGTCCCCCAGGGTAGATTTCTCTGTTGTTGCTGTTCATAGCCCCGGATTCTTTTCCATGGGAGCCCTTGGCTCATTCTTTAATGTGATTACTTAATTGTCCCTCTCCCGCACTAAGTCCTGTGAGAGAAGAATCTGTCCATTTTGGCTGCCTGTGGTGTCCCCAGTCCCCAGCACAGTGCCTGGCACATAGTATCAATGGATGTTCGTGTCATGCCAGAGGGTTTCTGGCTCTGGTAGTTTTGAAAAGCTCTGGAGGTGATTCTCATGGGCAGCCATGGATGAGAACCACCATTCTTCAGGAAGGGCCCTGAGGAGTCTTGAAGAGAGTGCTCTTCAAACTTATTGCATCTTGCCACCCTGACGCCAAGACAGCACCCCCAGAACAGAGTGTCTGAGGTGGGACCCACACATTAGTAATTTTAAAACTTCTGTAGGCGATTCCAAGGTGCAGACAAAGTTGAGAACCACTGCTAAACATCCTGTTTCCCTTCATCTTCCGCGTCTCTCCCACTGTGGTCAATTAGATCAGAAATCTGCTGTTGAGAAATATTAGCCCTTCCCCCACCTCCACGGTCACCCAGCCCCCCCTGGCGGTAGGTGTGGCAATGGAGGTGGCCTTGGAACTTTGGCCATGGGATGTTGGTGGACCTGAAGCAATCAAGGGCCTTGAAAAGCCCTTGCAAGATTGGGTTTGCCCCCTTGTGCTTTTATGAACATTAAACAAACAAACAAACAAAAAACAACCCATGCAGATCAATAGTAAAAATGGTAACACTAGTAAGAAGAACTTGTGTGGCCAGCCTGTGGGTTCAAGGAGGCTGAGGGACAGAGGGACACATGGAGCAGAGCTGCTTCCGCTGAGCACCAGACCTGCCCTGGGACACAGAGTCACCCCAGCTGCTTCTGCCCGAGACTCAGCCGCCCAGGCGAGCCAGCCCAGATCACCAACCTCAACCTTCCCAGAGACCGGCAGGCATGTAGGTGATGATAAATGACTGGTGTTCAAAGCCACTGAGTTCTTAGTTCACTACACAGCAGGGGCAAACCGATACACTCACTTGTCCACAATAGTTTGCAAATTCACCAAGGGCAGAACCTCTATGACCTTAGTTTCTTCACTGCTTCTCCAGGAAAATCTCCAGAAAAAGAAAGGTGACCAATAGGCAGACTTTCTACTGGTTTATAAAGTTACACTCTATATGCATCCCATGTCATTTGGGTTGATCTCCCTCAGTTAAGGTTACGGCTGGGGCCTGTGTGACCTCGGGGCGGAGGACTGGAGGATTACAGAATCACACTCTCCAAGTGAGAGAAGACTGTGATCACACCGCTGCTTCACGTAATCAGAGTTCTCCAGGGTCATCGATATGGCCTCAAGGTGTTGAAAAAGTCAGCCTCCCTTCTTCCTATTGGCACTAATTGTTCATATGTTCATACTTTACCCCTTTCCCAAACGTAAGGGCATGGTTTAAGAGGATGTTCATTCATCTTGTTGCAGTACATTTATCTGAAAATTGTCAACAAATGAGATATTTTAAATGTCACCATAAGCCAGAAAATATCAATAAGTCCTTGTCCCCAAATATGAGTAGAATGAAATGAAAGGCTGGAAGTCACATATGGATGCTTTTCTCCTTACCTCCCTGGTGACCTCGATGTACAAAGTCCTTCGCATCTCCACTATGAGCCCCAGACTAAAGGGAGGTATTCTCACGTCCTATGGGAGCTTGGGCTTGGTCTTTGCCTTGTCATTTTGTGTTGAAGTAGTGTCCCCCGGACAAACTGGCTACCCATATCTCAGCTCCCTAATGGGGTAACCCCAACTTGGGGTCTAGCCAAGGAAGAGTTCTGGGGTGGGATGCCATGAACTCCCTGAGGTTGGAGGCAAAAGCGTGTGCATGCAGGCACACATGAGCACTATTTTGTGGAGGAGGTGCATAGTTTTCATTATATTCTTAAAGAGATCAGTGGCTTCCTAACTGGTGAAGACCCATCACCCTAGTGGCAAGTCCAGTGCAAAGGAGAATCTTACCCTCCAAGCAATTAATTATCCTCCAACTTCTATAATTCCAGGGGCTCTAAGGAATGAGCATGATAGTGGTAATAGCATTTACCGGGTGTGACTGTGTGCTGGGCATTCTTAGTGCTGCATGTGTTATGCCTGAGTTAATGCCATTTTACAGATGGGCCTTGTGAGGTTTAGAGATGAGGACTGTCTGACTTGAAGCTCAAGCTCTTAACCGTAGTGCGTTGAGCCTCCTGCGGAGTCTCAGGACACACGTTGCTGGCCCCCAAAGAGTCACACAGCCAACTGAAACACAGCAACAACTTGCAACCTAAATGCTAAACCCCCTTATTCGATTGCATTTCCCCAAATAAAAAGGGAAAGGAATTGGCCAGAAGGACTCCATAGTTCCACGGGTTTTTGTTCCGAGAACATCAATGTCCTGTCCATTTGTGAACCTGGAATTTGGGAGGAGGATCTCCCATGGTGACACTCAGATACTCCATTGTGAAAGACCCTGCTGTGTAGGGACAAGTTCAGCACCGTGTAGCCGCCTCCCTTCCTGGAAGGTGCCCTCTGAACTGCTCCTGTCTGCACTGGCCACATGTGAGTCTCAGGTAACTACCTGCCGGGGTCCCCCCGCAACCCCCCGCCAAGTTTCAGCTTCTGTAGCTGCTGCCTCTTGTGCTCCTTTCCCAGCCCTTCCAGTGTTTTCTCTCGTCCCCTCTTGACATTGCCATCCTGATTTCTCCCTTGGCGTAGACCCAGCTTCCAAGTGCTCTTTGGAGTCAAGAACTGCACGCAGAACCTGGACCCCTCTCCAAGCAAATCTCCCGCCCTTGCACTTCTGGTGGATTCTGTCTCCTGCTCTTTTATACTGCTCCGCTACAGCAGGAGGTCATCTCAAAGTCCTCTTTGGAAAGAGATTGGTGTAAATAAATTCAACAAGTAAATGAAAATAATCCCGGGCTGTTGTTTATGGCTCTGTGACCACTTTGCTCTTGCTCTTGGTCTCTTGGGGCCTATGTCACCCCCAAATTCCAGAGGAGGTTTCCTCTTGTCCCCACTTTGGGCAGCTGCAAAACATCTTTCAAAGGTGTGGGATATGGAGCACTTTTAAATAAGGCTTCTCAAGCTATGCCCTTAGGAAACCAAAATTCGTCCTTCAGTCCATCAGTCAATCAACAAACATTAATCGAGTACCTGCTATGTGCCAGGCACCTGTCACGGGATTAAAGAGGAGTCTAAGAGGTAATTCAGACCCTCAGAGGATTTCCAGTCTGGTTGGGGAAATGTCCCTTCCTCTGGGGTTCACCCTCCTACTGAGCCTGCTAAAGAGCATGTGGGTTAGCAACACATAGAACTCACGTGCTGCTTGCTTCTGACACATATCAATTGAGTTAACTTGGCCAAGTCACTTCATCTCTTTGAACCCAGCTTTCTCATCTAGTAAGTGAGGGGCCTAGAACTTACTTCAGAGACATATGGACCCCATGCGTGCAAAGCTCTGGTCACCATACCACACACAGTGGCTGACTAAGGATGACCAATGTCCCATGAGCCTCTCCTCTCCGCCAGTGTCTGTTTCCTTAGCTTCGGGGACTCCGTGCTCTCTCTCTCTCTCTCTCACGTTCTCTCTCAAATAAATAAATAAATACATCTTAAAAAAAAAAAGAATAATGCTTCCTATTTTAAAGCCATTAATTTAGGTGCATTTTAGCAACTTCTGCCTCCATCCCAAGTAAAAAAAACCAAACCCACAAAAAATACCCCATAACTATTATAGCAACTCTCTATGGGTTGTAAGTATGTGTTTTCAATGGCCGTTACGATCCTGTTTCTACTCCCTCCCTCCTCATCCTCTTCCTTCATTCACAGGCACCCCCAAGTTTTCCTGTCACCATTAAGCTGTGGATTCCCAAATTTTCCAAAGCTTTCCAAAGACCAGGATGAATGCACTTCATTACAGAACTTATATACTAGAAGGCTAGGAACCTGGGGGACACATGTGGTTTTAGGGATGCCTGTGGGTGCTTAGGGGTGTGATGTCCAGCGCCTTGCATGTGGTCCGGTGCCCCCCCCAACAGCTTTCTGAGGAGGGTGTGCGTTTCCCCAGCATTGAGGGGCAGGCCTTGTGTCTGACCACATCAGCTTGGACCGTTGGGTGGTTTCTGCACTTGCTCTTGGTTGGACTAACTTCGGGGTGGGAGGGGGGAGTGGACATGGATACACGGTGTTAGTATGGAGGTTTGTGCAGGGAAGAACTGGGGAGTGGTGGGGAAAGGAGAAAGCTCAGCTGTCTGCTCCTTCCACTTTAGGGGCACTCCTCAGATCCCAGAGCACGGAGGCCCCATCCAGGTCAGTGTGGGATGTCCGGCTCATGAGTAAAGACTGCTGTGTTGTCTCCTCTAAGGCACCCCAGAGGGCAGCCAGGGACCATGTCTCTGGGTTTCCCGTGACAAGGGCAGGCAAGGGCACTCACAGCCCTCTCCCCTCATTAAATTCGGTAGCTACAGGGCCCGGTGCTTCCCCTTTTTGGAGTGGCCTGATGAAGCTTCTGGGCCACTCCTCAGAATCATGTTTCCAAATGCATGAAATAAAAATACTCAGGATGACAAAGGAAGCCAAGTCTATTGAAATACAGGGCTGAAATATTTTGAAAAGCCACATCTATGATATGTAATTATGTATTTCTTTAAAAACACACATTAAATGAGATCCAGTGGCAAGTCTCATATGTTTGTGATTTTGAAATAGGGACATGTAAACAGGATGTTGAGAGATTTCCAACAACCACAACATGACTTGAATCCATCAGCAATTTTGATTGGTGGCAGAAATGCCTATGGTTTGTGCCCTACATTTGCAATCAAATTCAAAATTTCAGTTAAGGGTTAGTGCAAATGAAGATGTCATTTCTCCCCAACTAAGTTTGTGCAGCCAAGTGTAAGCACGCCTGCTGAAGACCTATGAGGCTTGTTACAGGTCAGATTGTGTGTTCCCAAGTTAGTATGTTGAAGTCCTATCTCCCAGGCCCTCAGAATGTGATTTTTTTTTTTTTTTTTGAGAGAGAGATTTTAGAGAGAACAATTGTTGTGTAAGGTACTTACTTTATGGTACTTTGTTACTGCATCCTTAGCAAACCCATGCATGGACTTAGGGTGCAGGGAGTCAAGATTTTAGCTCTAGAGCACAAGAGCTGGGTTCCAATCCCTTCCCCATGCTCACCAGCTGCACAAGTCCAGAAAAGTATCACCTCTCTGGGTCTCAGTTTCCCCGTTACACCATGGGGACAGCCAGAACACCTGTCTCGGGGCTGCCAGGAGGCTGGGCTGTGTGGCAAAGGGCTTCACAAGTGGTAAAAGCACTATGTGTATGCTCCTTGTTTAATCACCAAGGGGAGTTTCCTCCTTAAGTTTTGAGAAAGACTAAAAGTGGAATCCATCCTTTTAAATGCCCCTGCCCCCCAATTTTCTGCCCGAGAAATTTGGTTTCATCACAGATGTCGTCTTTCCTTCCACCCCAAACCTCTCTCGTTTATGTGCGCAATCGATTCCGGGGAAGACCACGCTCACCAGTTTTTAAACAACATCTGCGAGGCCGTTGTGAAATTCTTGGCACCAAAACAGAGACATTGTGCTTAATTGCTGGGCAGTGGCATGATTCTGACACATACAATCCCTGGTTCAACATCGCCGCTAGCCAAAAGTCATCCGCGAAACACGTTTTCTTAAACATGACTGATCAATTGTTACCTTCCAGCTTCTGCTGCTAATTAGACAACATGAGTCAAAGTTAATTTGGTGGAAAACATTTTTCAACTTAATGACATTTATGGGCAATTAGGCACGTGTGGAAGGGACGCACATTTCCATGTCAGCCTATTTCCCGGGCTTAATAAGAATCTCCTCTTTCCCGGGTGCAGATTTCTCAGTCTCTGAGGAATATGTTTGGTACAGACTCGGTGGGTCCCCTTGTTATGCTAGAAACCAGCAATTGTTTGCATGAAACAAGCTACCACACGGTAATGAGGTGGCAGACGGAGTGAGGCTCAGTGAAGGCTTTTGTGTTGTTTAGACCCATGTCTCGCAGCAAGAAGTTGTGAGCCGTGTGCATGGCGAAAACCACGGCCCCAGGCTCCCGTGGCAGATCAACGTGGACCAAGTTCGTACTTCTCAGCCCATTGTCAGAAATGGCTTCTGTTGGGGCGCCTGGGTGGCTCAGATGGTTAAGCGTCTGCCTTCGGCTCAGGTCATGATCCCAGGGTCCTGGGATCGAGTCCCACATTGGGCTCCCGGCTCAGCGGGGAGCCTGCTTCTCCCTCTGACCCTCTCCCCTCTCATGCTGTTTCTCTCTCGCTCGCTCTCTAAAAAATAAATAAATAAAATCTTAAAAAAAAAAAGAAATGGTTTCTGTTATCGATAGATAATATCAACCTGTTTGAAAAGCAACTAACCACGTAAGACACAGCATTCCTAATTTTTAAGACGATGTGCCTTTGCTGTTGGGTTTTTTTTTAGGTCAGCAAACCATTCTCGATGGGTCATTTTGTCGTCATGGATTGACACAACCCCTCGCCTGCGCCCCTCACATGGAAATCCATCCAGCGTGGGCAGGAGCTGAGAAGCAACGGCTGAGGTACTCGGCTGCTTCTGTCCGGGCTCCGCTCCTGGACCCTGTGGGGCCCTCCTGCACCTGCCTCAGCCAGCATCCACTTTCACCTGGCTCTGTCTTCTCTCCAGGAAAGGCTTTAATTAAATTCACATGAACATTCAAGTTCTTTTCCTTTGGAAGGGGAGAGTCTTATTTATGTGTACACACACAGGTAGTAAATGGTGGTGATTCCTTCCCACTGGCAGGATGGTTTGTGGGCATAAAGAGCCAAGTGTGAAGGAGAGTGTACCATTCTGGTAATTCCAATGCAACCCAGTGGGCTAGGGTGCTGAGTCGGCCCTTCTCACAGTTAACCAGATTCCCACCCCAGGAGCTAAATGTCTTCCCGAGGGGCCAGGAATTCGCAGTTCTATAAAACCGGGACTACCAGATGCCCCTGTTGCCCCCAAGATTGGTAAAACTCTCATGCTTCACTTAAATATTTAAAATTTTTAATTTTGTTTAGTGTACAACATACACAGACATTGTATATCCAAACATTAAAAAAAATTTTTTTTCCGGGTGGTTGAAGGGTGGATAAGACTTTCTGTAACAACCTATATAATGATAACTTTGGAGAAGGTTTACTCTATACTTCAGTTGTTACAAACTAAGGTAAAACAAAACAGAATGAAACCCTCTAAAATATTATACTAGTAATATTTTAATATATAAATATTATGTAAGTATGTATGTCAGCTGTAAATAATATTAAAATGAGAAGAAGGTACAAAATAAAATACTGATCAGGTTAGAACTTTTAAAATTGGGGGCGCCTGCGTGGCCCAGTTGGTTAAGGTTCTGCCTTCGGCTCAGGTCATGATCTTGGGGTCCTGGCATCGAGCCCCGTGTGGGGCTCCCTGCTCAGCGGGGAGTCTGCTTCTCCCTCTCCCTGGTACAACATGCCTGCCACTCTGCCTACTTGTGCTCTGTCTCTATCAAATAGATAAATCAAATCTTAAAAAAAAAAACAACTTTTAAAATCCACCAAATAAATAGCACTCTCTTTTCATAAAACTTTCCAGGAGACCTATGTGGTTTTTTGCTAACCTGCATTTCAATGGAGAAAATTACAATTTAATTAGACCCAAGTGTCCCAAAGAACCAATGCGGTGAAGAGACCCACCCCATCCCAGGAGGGAAGTCCGCCAGAAACCCTTGGGGAGGTCTTGGTGGGCGCTGCCGACCAGAATCTATGCTTCGGAGGAGTGGGCAATGCTGGGTTAGGCCTCCAGGTACCCCCTGGAGCAGCTGCTAGGGGCTGCCAGAGAAAGGACTTTTCCGTGGAAAATGTCCTTGTGTGATGTCTTCTCTAGATTGCCAGGAGCTTGGTCGAACCCTTGCAGGCTGTCTGGTTGGGGCAAATTCCTATTCACATCTCTTTCTTCATCTGCAAAATGAAGCTAAAAGTTGAACCGACACAGTATTGTCGGGATGGAGGTTATATGAGCTTGCATATGAAAACTGCTTCCAAAGGTGCCCGGCACATCATGGTGGCAGTAGTAAAAATAGCAATAATAATAATAATAATAATAATAATAATAATGCTTACAATAGTGCTAAAGGTTAGCTCTTGTTAGTAGTGTGCAGACATCAGCTGTGCTAAGAATGCCAAATGGGGGAATTAGGAGAGCCCGATTTGAGTCCTGGCTAGCTGCTCCATGTTCACCAAAAGCCACAGAACTGCCTTGAGCTTCAGTCTCCCATGTATAAAATGGAGCTAATGATACCAGCCTCGCAAAGTTGTTGCAACAGAAGAGTGCATACTGACGGCCGGGTGGAGCTGACCTGCCTTAGAGCCAGGGGTCAAGAGAGAAGGGCAGATCTAACGTGGCTTCTCCTTCAGACTTGGCGCTTACTGCAGCCTCCTCTGGGCTTTGCCCTGGACCACACGCTGTTCTCCTGGCTTCCCAACCCTCCCCCACCGGTCACATCACAACATGCCCAACTGGTGTCCTTCTCTGCAGGATCCTGCTTCCAGCCAGGTGACAGCAAAATAATCCAGCCATACGTCTTGCTAATGGGGATTAGGGTGCTAATGGGGTCTCCCTCTGGGTTGACATATGTACTTGTGCAGAGGGGCCTTCTGGAGATGATGCTTTTGCCAGAGAAATGACTCTCATGGACGGAGTTTACAGGCAATGGGAGGGACGCCTGCAGTGTGGTCACTTACATGCTCCGTCACACCCATTCACCTGAACATAAAAATCTGGCCCGAACTCTTCCAACAGACCCATTCTTCTACTCCATTCCCCACTCACAAAACTCAGAAAACTTTTCTTGGAGGACAAAAAAAAACAAAAACGAAAACAAAAAAACAACTCTTAATGAATTAATCAATTCATCCAACATTTCCTGAGCACCTTGTAAAACCATAATGATAATTATCACTTACTAAGAAACTCATACTCGCTGCTTTATGTATATTACTTCATTCAATTTCACAACCACCTTAGGAGTGAGGAGATAAGTTTTGTTTTTTTTTTTAAATTGTGGTAAAATACACATAACATAACATTTACCATCTTGACCATTTTTAAGGGTACAACTCATTAACATG